TGACCACTCACCCCCATCTAGTGCCGACGTCAAGGAAGAGAGAAGCTATACATCCACTCCCCCCCCCAAGCGCCTACATGGCGTATAGTGGCACAGCTTTACTTTTTAACTGTTTTTGGTTCTGTAGAAGATGTCAGACACTTTATAGCCTCGGGACTTGCTAAGATATCGTGGGTATTTTCATACTCTCTCTGTAACAGATCTAATATAAATTTAAAACAGTAAACATGAGTACATCAGCCGCTAAAACCTTCGTGAATATAAGCCTATGACAGAATAACCGTAAATCCGTTTAAATTGAAGCCGAATAAAGTGACCTTATGGGACACGTAGGAAGAGTTGTCTTGGAGATGCAAATATTCTAAATGAACATATATTAAATGCATATGAAGACAAATTTAAATGCGTAAGAGGACAGGCATAGTCACTTACCTACGCCAAGGAGCCAAGGGCATGGTATGAAGGTTTAATTAAATTAGTTTCAATTATAATATTTGTTCAACAAACTTAAAATACTCCTCTTGTTACATTGTATTTAATTTATATGTTTAAATAAACAGGGGTCAAGTTTTCTAATGTATTACATTCAAAAATACCTTAACATAAATCTTAGGAAAAATTATAACGCTAGAAACTATTCAGGGGGGCTATGCTACATCGTGTACGCATTCTAACACATGGAAGGCAAGCTGCTATTCTTTATTAAACAAAATTCCAAAATGCGTATTCCAAAAAATCTTTAATGTCGAAAAATTCTAGTATCCAACTCTGTGGTGTCCCTTACGCATCGGCACCCCACAATCTCTGAGCAGGTTCTTTGACTTCCGGTACTGTCTTAATGGCACTCAAAATTTCACAGTTCTATTCAAATTTGAAACTTGAATTTACAATATTGAGATAAACTATTCCAGTTCCTTCAACAAAACGTTGATTTTCTAGTCTGTGAGTCTCTACAGATATAAAATTAATTATTTGGGGATCTGTAGACACCCATGAACTGGATGGTCTGTGACGTCTTGTCAAACAGAAGATAAATGAATGGATGATTGGCGATAAAGCGTGCGGGGGTCAGAGGCCTTGAGGAACGGAACGAGATTACGGCACTGGCAGCTGCAGCGACTGTGCCTTGTTCATCTACGGAAATCTTGGCTTTGTGCACTGCCTTATCCAGATGCAGATCGCCATCTTCTGTAAAGCCAGACAGATCAGACGTAAACTGGAACAGGTCTCCAATCCCCAGTCGCTCCAGAATCTGTGGACGCACACGACAGTCACAATTTAACAATGAAATTGCGCGTAAGATTTGAGGTTTTCACGACGGCGAGTATGAAGATTTCTGTCTTCTGGGTTGTTGCGCCGTGTATTATGGTAGATGTTCCCCGACGTTTCAGAGGTCATACTGCCTCATCGCAACAACCCGGAAGACAGAAATCTTCATGGAATTGCTTACTTGTTACAATAATAAATGAACAAATAATCTAATTGGCCAGTTTTATATTATTTACTGCTGTGGTGTGCGCAGTGTTCATTAATCAATTAAATTCTTGCCATGCAGCACAAAACAGCGAACATCAGATTTGCGCTATTACGTACTGATTATGATTACGTTGCAATAAAACAAAAGATGGGACAAAATCTATGGAAAAATAGAAAACAATACAGAATGGATCTTAAATTATTCTTCTTCCTTTTCTTGCCTAATATTTTCTTCCATTCTTCTCTCTTTTCCCATCCTTTCAGAGGTAGTTTCTACTCTATCATGGTTCTTATAATTCTGTCATTCCATCCTGGTCTCGGTCTCCTACTCTTAAATTTTTAACTAGCAAAATAGAACTAATCCAGTTTCACATTAATGTTCAGTGTCCGAGAAGCAGCTTAACGTGAAATACCTATTAAGAATGGACTACAGAATGTTTATTAAGGCAGAAAGAAAGTGTTTGAAGAAATAACATTTTATAATGCGGAGGAATCACTCTTCTTCATTTGTGATCACTCTGTCCAAGGCAAAGTCTAAAATTTAACAAACATTTGCGTGCGAAGTGCCATATTATTTTATAATTTAGTCAATAAATTCTGTGAACAATTTACAAGACTTTATTTCTTTTAAATGCCTTCTCAGTAAAATAGTGTCCAAACTTGTACGTGAATGACTGTTTTGCGGAGGATGCACTGTTCAAAATTTTGCTACTGTAGAACTCCAGTACCTGAAGAGTACAAAATACAACAGTAGTTTATAAATGGCAGACACGTATAATTTCTGGACGTGTTTCTTCTTTTAGATCATAAGCAATTTCATTATCATCGCATCAATTCACCACTTTATGGGGTATGTACTTCCATGTACCCGAGACAGACCTTGTCCCTAAGGTACATCAGGGAACTGCAGAAGACCGCCATTTTGGGATTTTCATTAAAGTGGTGAATTGATGCGATGATAATGAAATTGCTTATGATCTAAAAGAAGAAACACGTCCAGAAATTATACGTGTCTGCCATTTATAAACTACTGTTGTATTTTGTACTCTTCAGGTACTGGAGTTCTACAGTAGCAAAATTTTGAACAGTGCATCCTCCGCAAAACAGTCATTCACGTACAAGTTTGGACACTATATCACTGAGAAGGCATTTAAAAGAAATAAAGTCTTGTAAATTGTTCACATAATTTATTAACTAAATTACTGAAAATGTATTTCGATAACCAAAGCTAAGTTTATTATTATTATTGTAATTAAAGTTTCATTTTGTATGTATTCTTTATATTTAACTGATTTTAATTTAATTATTATATACTTAGGCATATTATTCAGCTCATTTGCTCGTTGATTATTAGCAATAAATGAGTCGAATTATTTGTACATTTATATAATTAGTATATTTATTTGTTTTTTGTATTTTGATGTTTCACTTTTAGGAATATTACTTAGCTCAATTACTGTTAATTATTTTTAATAAATTAATGAATTGATATATTATCATTATTATATTGTACATTTATATATTTAGTTCATTGTTTGCTTGTTTGTTTGTTTTGTATTGTTATATTTATTGTTAGTACTTGGCTGTAATTGGCCTTCTGGCTGTTGATACAGCACACTAATAATAAAGAATTGAATTGTATTGAATAATCACCCATGGTGTTACAATTCATGAACTTACCGGTGTAAGCTCAAGGCTCTGTTCAACTGTGAACTTGGGGATGACAACTTCAACAGCTCTCAGAGAGTCTTCCTCTACGATATCCTGCAGACCCTCTACAGACAGCTGCTTAATGACAGCCTCAATGCCATTTGACTTGGCATAAGGAGGTAGGAAGATAAACATGCTGACCTCACTCCCCTTATACGGAAGCTCCAGTACATGTGCACCCAGATTCTCTGATACAACTGTGGACAGAAATTTTAGACTCGGATTCTCCGCAAACTGCACACATATTTTAGAAGATTACATGCTTAAAGTGCACAGCCATGTAGCAGAACATTTAAGGTTCTCACAGTGGTTAGTATGAAGATGGCAGACTTCTGAGTTGTTGCACTGTGTAGTCTGGTGGCAGCAAGTACCAATAAAATGCTGGTAGATGGCTATAAGATTACGCAGCGCAACAACCCAGAAGCCCACCAATTTCATACTCACTGCCATCAGAACCTGAAACATCACATAAATGTCATTAATGTAAAGTACAGGTAGCCGCCCTCGATTTGCACCGATTCAGAATAACGCCGATTTTGAAACAAGCAACTCAAAAGGTGAAAAAATATATTTTACTATTATTTATAACGTTTTACAATGTTTCTCGTAATGATTCTTATACTAAATCGTAATTCTTACATCGCTGATTCTGAATAAAAATTATAAATACAGTCATCTCTGCAATTACGTAAGTTTCGTTAACGCGAATTTGCTCCAATGACATCGATGAATCGGTAAAAGCTGTTTGTGAAATGAAAACTTTTGCATATGCGAGTTTGCTCTTATGCAGTTTCATTCCTGGCGCTTTAAACTTTCAAAGGACTAATTTAATCTCTGCGGAGGTACCGGGGTTATTTTTACTACGCGATTTTCTATAGGTCGGCGTCTTACATGAATGCAATTATCGCATAACAGCAGAGATGACTGTACACATCAATCACATGAAAGGATCGCAGGACCAACGAATTGCCGATTGTATAAAATATATTTTTTAAATTCCCTTTATTTTATTTACGTTATTTCAGAACTTTAAATGTAAAGCCATTATATTACTCGTCAATGTTTGGGAACACATGTCATTGACTTCCCATTGATTTACATTATAAAAGAGTTTCAATTTACACCGATTCCGTTTACACCGGTTCGTCCAGGAAAGCATCCCCGGCGTAAATCGAGGGCTATCTGTAGTGAACAATTAAGTTCAAAATGTGTTCTCCATTGAACTGTATTTTTACAATCTTGCAGCGCAGTCTGCATCCATGTGTCTTCTATTAACCTGTACTCTGAAACTACATTTATTTATTGGTAATTACACTATTATTGACAATATAATGCCATTTATTACAGAATGAGACCACTGCACATTAGAATACCAAAGATTCGTGATCATTTGCATCGTAACTACAAGTTTAATTTCTGTGTACTGTAATAATTCAGTCAGCCATGTTGCTTAATGTGTTTTCTCAATAAATTTTTCACAGAATATTCTACTAAAATTTACAAAAATACGTCAGACTGCTTACTGTGGTTGAACGTCCCCTTCTGCTTCATCATGTCAACAAGAGTCTGTTTGGTGTGTGACACATAGAACACATCCTTGCGCGTATGTTCTGGCAAAAACTGTGACTTCCAAAGACCTTTGAAGTATGCTGCATTTGCCTGAAATACAAAGTCACTTATTCCAACATTTTCTGTTAAATAACAGACAACAATGTTTACTCCCAAAAGTACGTATTTTAATGATAGATTGTAAACTGGAGCTCGCATGTAAAATTTTGAATTATTTTCTCTCCCACTATAGGCCACGTAGGCGCTTGGGAGGAGAGGAGGTGTAGCTTGTACTCATTCTTAACCTCGACACTAGGTGGGGTGAGTGGTCAGCGTCAAGCCTCGGCGGCAACTTACCCTCCGGAAAGGACCCCGGTATCCATTGGACAGGAGGTTGGGTGGGCCCTAGAACAGGTATGGACACAGAGGCTAGAGGAAAACCCCTCTGGCCCTGTCGGAGATCGAACCCCGGTCCTCTAATCCGTAATTTGTCAAAATATTGACTGAGTTTCCCCAATAAAGATAAATTACAATCATATCTACAAGTTGTGTGTGAATCATATCTGAGTCTTTTAATTAACATTATACACAGTAACATTAACATTATAAACCATGTATTTGACAGAGTACTCTTAAACATAAAAATAAGGTAAATGTCTTGTGCAGAGATCTGAATTGAAAGGAGGTTGTTTAAACTTATTAAAAATCATTTTTTTACGAAAAATAACGTTATCATATGCTGAAAAACGTGAGTTCTGATCAGCAGTCTGCCAGCAGACGGTAAATTCTGAAAACAGTCACACTTCTGAAGTGCTATATCGATCATCTACACCTAGAATTGTAAAGTGTAAATGAAACTGAAATGGTAATGACAATTTTTCTTATATCTCCGCAATATTTAAATTTCAGCCTTTCTCAAGTTGCTATTGCATACGCAGTCGGACGGACAGACGGACGGAGCTATTTAATAGGCATTCACTTTCCTAGAAAGAAAATGTACATTTTCAAACTGGTTCTAGAGGGTTACAGGACTGCCAGAGTGTATCTACCAGTTGCATATCCTTTTAGCACAGAAGCGAACCTTTCTGTCAACTGGACCAGTTCTAGGTACTTCGCTGAAATTCGCCTGTTTCCGTCTTACCAGCACGAGTTCTGTGTCGGCCGTGATCCTGTCCTTCGGGATGAGGTCCTGGATGTGGCGCTTGGTTTGTATCTCCACCCAGTTGTTGATGTTTTGTCTTACAGCCTCTGGATTCGCAACGAAGTCCACGGGTTCAACCTCATCCTCAAACAAGTGTGCTATGCAATCCCTCAGTTTCAGTCGCTTCGCAATGAAGAGCTTGTTAGCCGACCGCAGCTCGTAGCTCTCTGATCCATTTATCTCTCGCATGCTCTGGAAGTACTTTTCGAACCTGTACGCCTGCATTGTGCTGATCTTGCTCTGCACAGCAAAGAAAATTAAGCTCTCACGTATTATAATAATAACAACAACATTAAAAAGTGTTTTAAATGAATAAGGTGTGGGTGTACTAGTTTCATCCTGTGCAAAATGACTTCTTATGAATATTATAATGAACTTTCGGGTTCAACAAACGCCACAGAATTTCTCGAAAATGTGAGAGACTATCATATTCTCTATACGATACAATCGGAATTTTTTCTTTGTCATAAGCTCCCAGTTGCCAACTGGGAGCTTAAGACAGTCACTAGGGTCCAAGAAATGAGCCCGTAATAACAGTACTTGATTCTGGCACGGGGCAAGTGGAGTTTCCTTTCAAGTGACAGTGGGCTCCTAAGCACAACACATTTCGCTATTTCTGATCGTTGATTTGTGAGTTTGGATAGAACCTAACATACTCTATCTCCCCACATTCAAAGGCGCAGAGTAACTCATTATAGACCAACCTGAGATTCTGGAATCCTAAGAGCTGCCTTGAGCGACAGCTCTGTTTGATTCGCAGCGCCAAAGTACGCCAACAGAAGTGCGTTGTAAACGCTGTAGGGTGAAAAGAAGACGTTGCCTGTGGGGTTGTCTGCGACTGCTTCCCGAAGCATCGCCAAGCTGAAGGCCTGCTCCCCTATGAACAAGTCTTGTCGGGTGTTTGGGCTGTTCTGAACCTTGGTGTCATCGGGGCTGAAGCACTGCTGTACACTCAAACCGGGAAGCAACACAGCTGTCAATCCTACGACCAGTGCGATGATCATCTGCACCAAAAACACACACGTTAAGTAAGGACAATATGACCGTTCCTTCTTCACCGGGGGCTCTTCATAAAGTAAAATGTACTAACGTAACAAAAATACTTTTTCACAACAATTTTATTTAACCGTATATTCCCGTTGTCCAAACAAGTAACCAAAAGAACCGGTTTTCACAAGTCGTATTTTAATAAAATCTGCTGAAATAATAAAACTGCTTCATTATTCTTTACCACCTCACTGAAGGCCTGATACAACCTCTTACTCTAAACTGAAGATACTCGACTTCTGCGTTATTGCTCAGTGTATTCTGGTAGAAGCCTAACTATTCATCGCCCATCATCAGGGCGATGACTCACCTCTCTGATGATAAAGGCAAGTCAGTATTGTCAGTGTGATTAAGTGTGAGAAGAATGAGATGGGCTGGGCATGTAGCCCGCATGGATGGTACAAGAGGTGTGCACCGGGTACTGGTTGGGAAACCTGAAGGGAAGAGAACGCTGGGGAGACCTAGACGTAGATGGGAGGATAATCTCAGGCGGGATCTATGGGAGATAGGAGTTGAAGGAGACTGGATTTTGTTGGCCGAGGACAGGGTCCAGTGGAGGGCTTTGGTTAATTCGGTGATGAACCTTCGGGTTCGGTAAGCCATCTAGTTAGTTAAGCACCTCTGAAACGTCGGTAAACTTCTACCAAATTACTCGGCGCAAGAACTGATAAAGGCAGCCATCTTCAATCTCCCCAGCTGGTCATAAATCTGCTTTAACTTCATACTTTCAAAACATGCACATGAAATGTTGCATCTGTTATCTTCCTACAGATTGGAAAAGTCTGCTTTAACCCTAGGCAGAAGTCACACGTGACTAGTGGGTCAACTTGAAGATCGTTGCCCTCGTTGAACACATCAGTACACGTCATCGACGGAAGGTGAACTCTAATGACGCGACAGCAGTAGTATCACGTATTGCGGCCATCTTCATCCACGTCACAGAACTCGTTAAATGACCCACATGCAAGTTGCCACCCACTCCAATCATTTCGGAACACGAACATAAGCAGACGTAGAGTCTTGATCTGGATAGTCGGAATGTGGGCTCTACTGTCTATGATTCTGTATTCATCGTTGGAGTCTACACGCATATATACATCCACAAATTACATTATTGACAGAGCTCTTCAGCAATAAGCAACGTGCACACACGTATAGGACATTTTTGTCTGCATTTCGTTAAAATATACGTAAGGATTACGAACCAATTTTTCGATTTTATTTAACGAAACAGCACATCGTACCAAAGGAATTAAGAAAGACAAGTGACTTAAAATACACATTTCTGTAAAATCTAAGACTTTATTTGGATTGTTTTCTATGTGCTTTATAATGATTTAAATAGAATAACAATTTTTAAATCTGTTGTGGACAATATTATTGCGACTAGCCTCAACAAAATATCTATCTATGTCGCCAATAAATAAAAGCCAATGCCGGCAATTATGTGTACTCCACTAAAGGAGGCATGTCAAACTCGCCCCCATTTTCGACTTTTTGTGCAGCCCGATTCAATTTTTGAATTACGTATAATATGCTGCCCCAATATCCCAATGTTAGTACATTTTAAGTTCCAACTATCAGATTTCTAAAGAATTCATTTTATCAGAATTAAGTCTGGATTTGTAAGTGTAATATTTACGTATAATGATAATCAGTCCTTGAAAGAAGATGTAGTGTTTGGTACAGTACTGTGAGGGTAACATAATTATTATGTTAGAAAGTAAGTAAATTTACCATTGAAGATTTCTGTTTTCTGGGTTGTTGCGCTGTATAGTTTGGTAGATGTTCATCGCCCTGATGACGGAGGCAGTATGACCTCTGAAACGTTGGTTAACATCGACCAGACTACACAGCGCAACAACCCAGAAGACAGAAATCTTCATATTCACCGCTGTAAAACCTCAAATCTTACTTGCAAATACATGTCAAACTGCAACTTGTTTACCGCTGTTCTATATTTAAATGAAATAAGATGGAAACGTGCTTAAATGAAATTCATATTTTCATGTGCTTGTCGGAAAACACAGGGGCGAATAATAGCATCTTGTGCTGAAGCTTGGAATTGGTCAAAGAAAGCGGTTATGGTTTTCCCCAGCCCTGTGTGGGGCCCCCGCCCGATTAGTCGCCTCTCTTCCAAGCCGTCAGTAGACGTCGACTTTAACACGCCTGCTTTAGAGTTTACACATTACCACTCTTGATTAAAGTATGCAGTGGAGACGTAATGAAGTGCACGCATAAATTCCATTTTCTATTTCTAATAGTCACGTAAATCCT